ATTGTGCTTTCTATTTTTTTTTTGTTGTTCTCCAACACAACGAGAGTGCAATATTATTATGCTTTGAAATGCTGCTGTATACATTTCTACAAGAGGTTGGCACATTCAGACATTAACTTATCAATAATATCGGAGTTTTTAACATGATTTCATTTTTTCTTTCATGTATAAATACAATATACTCTTCTTTCCTGGCGTCTGGACCCCATGTAAAAAGCTTCAACAGATGATTATTTACAGTGACAGCATGATGAAAAATGCCACCCATGAAGGTCATAAATAACAATAACAATAATAATTAATAACGTAATCAAAAGTCCCAGATTCACACTCTGAAATCTGTACACTAGTCCACTTCTCTTCGGTTCTTCTCTTCAGCTTTCGAACGAAAACGGAGGGATGTCCAAGTCAAACTTCCTGCGTCTCACAGCCTTCACTTATCTCATCTCCTGGAAGAGAAGCAAAGAAGAAAAATTTTAATTAGAAAAGATAAACTTTTATTTCAAGTTGACAGAATAATATGTTTGATGCAAATACTGGTATTTGAAAGCAGCTTAGACCAGTTTGGACAATATAGATGGTTTTATATGGAAAATGCTGGTCATTATAGCAGCTTTACCACTGCAAATGTGGCCAAAATATACCCTACATTGGTAACTAATGGTTTTAACTGGTCATTTAAACTGGTCAACCAGCTTAGCTGGTCTATTCAGCCCATAATTGTGGCCTCTCTCAGGACAAAAGAAAGCCTTTTTGGTTTGGTATGTCTATAGATGACTTAATGCAGCAGGGATTGTCCATCATGTGACATGACAAGATCTGAGGACGCAGAATAAAGGCGATCTCAGGGGCAGACCCCTTCTCTCCTCTTTGCGTCAAGCACCTATTCACGCTCTCTGTCCAAATGGAAAGATAACGTTAACCACCGTGACAGTACGGGGTAACCCAAAACTCTCTCCCCGGGGGACGTATAGCCCTCTTTTATTTGGCCTGTCTTTTATGTTCCAGAGGGGGTAACCTGAGAGGGGGTCACACATCTGAAGAGACTCTTCAGCCCATATGGAGTGACCTTAGATGTGCATAACCCAGTTCCCATCACACAACTATTCATGTCAATAGAGATATACTGTAAAAAAAAAAGTGTTATGGCCCCTTTAGCCCATGCAACTACTTCTTCCTTATCTATCTATCTATCTATCTATAAACATTACAGTGCAATAATCAAAGATCATTGCTTATTTTGTACAGGCATTTACTCTTTGGTGAATACAGCAGATTTAGTAAGGAAGAATATGACAACATTTTCTAAGTATGTTGTATTTGAGAGCTGTAAAACTTGGTTATAAATAATCGTGCACCTGTTTGATATGAGAAAAATCACTTTAGAGACCGATCATTCTGTTGTAGCATCTCTTCTGTTATAAGTTCTCCAAGCAGTGGGGAATGTACTTCAGAGGAAGAGTCTGATTGCTGGCTAAAAATCCTGTGCCTCTACAGAACACTTACACTATGTGCTGAAAAGCCAGATAGACTCGGTCAGTCTAGACTCATCCACATTTCTCAATTCTGTCTCACCAATGAATGAGTGTTAAGAAAAGATAAACTAACGTATGTGTTTGCGAGGCTGTGTTTGACTAAGCTTGGCTAATGTTTGAGATTTAGGATTAGGTTTAGGATTTGGGAGGACGAGGATTAATCTTGAAAGCATACACTTAAAACCACTGTCTTAATCAGTATTATTTTTGTCTTGAATTACTATAAAAACATCTAAGCATCCTAAAAACAATTTTTTTGTGAAGCAAAATTGTGCTAGACATTTTCTTGTTTCAAGCATAAAAAAGACAGCTGAACAATTTGCCTGTTAAGAAAACAAGTCTTAATGTAATGTGCCATTTTTATAAATGAATATTTTGTATAAATTAAGTTCAATAAATAATTAGCATGCATATTTAATTGTAAATATTACTCTTGTATATTGTTTTTTTAAGTGATTAAAAAATACAAAAATACTGATTAAGTAAATTATTTTCTACAGTGTGAGAAAAGTTACTTGGTCTTACATCATTTCTCTTCCTGCCCGTTCCGTGCCCCCGTGATCCTGTTGACCCCCGTGATGATGAACTTCCTGTTGTGGAACAATTGCTGGACATCTGACCCCGAGACAGGAAGTTGGGCTTGTTGTAAGGAATTAAATCGTCTTCTGCTGTGAGCCATATAAACAATACCAAAATGTTAGGGTTCATAAGTGTATTGATACACTATAACTTTCATTAACTTTAAAATAAAAAGCCAGTCTATTTAATCCTATATATACTTACATACACACATATACATTAAAAAAATAAAAAATAATATATACACTTGTGCCTTTAAGAGACAAAATGTTTTTACAGTATTTAAGTTATATTGTCAGGTGTCGGCTCTAACCGTCTATTCGTCTATGAGAGGAGTTTTTCCGGTTGGGAGTGCTCTGTTCTCTCCTCTCCATGGAGGAATGGGAGCTGCCCACTCTCTCGAGGGACGTCTGCCCACATTCGAATCCCCCTACTTGAGCACAGTCGACCTCATCTTCAGGAGGCGGCTCTGGTGGAGGGGGCAGATCTGCAGAGATGTGACCAGCATGTTAAGTATGCAGGAGCAGGATAAATGATTAACTAACTT